CTAAATAACATTTCCAGTTTGGCAATAAGCATTCTGTTGCTCATTCACATAATTCTTAATATAAAATCCATTTATAATATAAGGCCTGGGCAAGCACATTTTAAATAGCATACCAGTTCTTTGGTAGCATGCAACTTGGCCTCTAGTAAATGTCCCCTTTAGCTGCACACGCACACAAAATATATATACTTCCTGTTAAATTTATATTTTTTTAGGCATGTACTATGCATGTAAGACCTTAGAGACTGGAGATAGCATATAGAACAAGAAAAGAGTACATAATAAATGTTACACATTCATTTATAGGAAAAGAAAAAAGCTACAGATCATTGAGTTGCTGACTCTCAGAACCCAAATGAACTAGCTTGCTACACAAGCCATACATGTATACAGAACAATCAGATAAATCTGAACACAAGGGCGCAAAAACCAAGTATAAAAAAAAAACATGTTTTACCATGATAAAACACAAACCGTAAATATAAAAATGATGTGCAAATGCTTTAAGAGCAATACAATACAATGAACCATTCATCTTCAAAGTATATTTTGAGTAAATACTGAAAAAACAAATAGATTACAGTGAACCACTGGATTTCCTGCTGGATTTTTTATTTACATTATTTTATATATGACACAGTCCACTGATATCAGTCATTGAACAGTAGCCGGTATGCAATATAATTTAAAATTGGTCTGATAAGGCAGCAGAAAGGTTTTGCTTGGTGAAGGTTTGCACCATTCCAAGTTTTCTAGCTGCATTATGTTAGCCTTGTCATTTATACAAAGTTTGCCTCTAAGCAATATGGTGTCTTCTTATAAATGCCAACCCCCTTGGATTTGTGACCTTCATTTTTATTGTGCAGTCGTCTACTATACATTTTACCTAACATCATACAGAACCAGCAGCCACACACTTTATCGACTAATCTGTACAACTACCAGTCTCCAGGGGTTTTAGCAATAGCAACCTATGGGACTTGTATGCATAGCTGCATAATCTACAAGGCTGAAAAAAATACAGGTTTATCTTACCCAACCTATGAATGCATAGGGTACAACAGTGTCCACAGCACTGGTAAAGGGAGGGAAGAGGATAGAGTCTGTGCTCTGGCTGGAGAATAAAGTTAATCAAGGGCATTTTTCCTTGTATGAGTTAGGTGAAGATTTTAGGAATATCTACTATCATCTAACAACAATCCCTAAGAAAAATGTTTTTAAATGGACCATATGACTCATCTCTAAACATTAATAAAGGAGTGACGGATGATAAGTAGTGACATCAACTGAGGATCTCTTTGTGATATGATGACTGCCAATAACTAGCACCATTTAGCGTATCCAAAATTCCCCCTCCTAGCTTCTTCACTCCTTCTCAATAACATAAATGGTGGCGCCACCAATCAGGGAGGGTGAAGTAATCACCAATTTATTGTAAAAGGTTCACACATCTTAGGATTATGGCATATATATGATGGACACAGCAATTACACTCAGTGGTCATTTCAATAAGTACACCTGCTCGTTAATACAAATAGACAGCGATTCGAACAGATCACTACAGAAAGCAATCAGGCTCAGTCAAGAAATTCAGCTGTTTGACCTAACATTAGAATGGAGAAGATATGTGATGAATTAGGAGTTGTCTGTGAATTGCTAGTGCCTGGCATAGCAATTGCAGTATCATAGACATTTACTGACCCCTGTGATTGCACACACTAGAGTCTGCAGCTTCTACAAAATATGATGCATACAAACATGCAGTGGGAAGCAGTTCTGTTGGTGAAAACAACTTGTTAAAGTGGAGTTCCACTCACCCTGTCAAAAAAATAAAAGTCAGCAGCTACAAAAACTGTAGCTTCTGACTTTTAAAAAACAGCCACTTACCTGTCTGTTGGTGTGTCCCCCGCAGTCTGTTTCACCGGCTGTCCTGTATTCCAGAAGGCTGGCATCTTCAGTGTGGGCACCCTATGATAGCTTGTGGCTTAACAGCCGGGTACCCACTGCGCATGTGCGAGTAGCGCTGCACTCTATGAATAGTCCTGTAGTCTTCTGGTACCTGTCACATGTCCCAAAAGACTACAGGGAGGGAGGACACCTTCCGCTTCCAATCACCTAGACGATCAGACCGGAACTGGGAACGGGTACCTGTCAAATTTGGGTAACCGTCCCCCAAAGGTGCCAATCCTTAATGGGGAGCGGGGGGAGAAGTCCTTAAAGTGGAACTTCCCCTTTTGGGTGGCACTCCACTTTAAGTAGGAATCAGAGGAGAATGGCCAGACTTGTCCAAGCAGACAAAAACTTTACAACTGCTCAATTCTATTCTTTATAATAGTGGCATGTAGAAGGGCATCTCTGAATATAACAGAAAATTATGCTATAATGTGCACTGGATCACCAAAACGAATGAATAAAACCTTCAAATCATTGCCTTGTCTGCGAATCCTTATTTCTGCTGCTAAGGTTAGTGCCATTGTGTCAGCACAGTCCAAACTCTATAAGGAACACTCCCAGTACCTAGCTGAATTCATGTCTGATAGGTGTACTTAATAAATAATCCACTTTGCGTATTTTTTTATAAAAATAAATAATGTCATTCTTAGAGCTATTTCCGATTTCAGATACTAAAGTAAGTATAGAATTGAACTCAAAAAAAATTTTTTTTCAGTATAAAGAAATACATTTTGCATTTTCGGTGTACTAGGGAAAATGACTATTTGTGGTCATCTTCCTTTTAACATGAGATATTCTGATTGTCTTTAAAGTGAGAAAAAAGATGCAGAAAAATGTAGGATTAATTTAGCGCAGAAGATGCAGAAAATTTAGGTAGTACATCAAACCCATCTAACATTAACCTTAATACTCTCTGGTCACATAACCATTTATGTTGGCTTGGGCAATCTAGTATTACCATACTTTGTTTGCCCAGGCCTGTCTAGTATCCAACATATGTAGGAAATCTAGACACAAACTCTTTTGCTGTGAAAGTTCACATTCTCTATAACATTCTTAATTAACCAGCTTCAACTTCCCCTTATCTTGCAGGATTCCATTAAAGAATGTACACCAATACTTTTCAATATTACTACACAGTACCTTTACTGTTCAGAGCCTAGGTGCTCTGAAAAACCCATCGTAGGCACCATGAATTGATATCCCAATGCCTGCGATGACTGTGTTCTGAAAGGTTTAAAGCTCTTCCCCAGTGGGAACAACAGAAGTTGCAATCTTTAACCATTCAGTCCCAGAAGCTGGGAAGATGGCACATCCTGAAACCTCTATAGTTCTACTACATTCATACACTTTCTACTTTCCATTTCTTGAGGACACATTACAACATCCCACACCTGTGAATTTTCCACTTTCTGTAGGCCACATCTATCAACACTGTACAAATAAAATCCAATGTCAAATTTCCAATGCTATACTCTGAAATATTTCACGTAATCAAATTGCTGACAGTGAAAGTAAAGAAACTTCAACATGCTCTGCTGATTATTGACCAACAAAAATCTTTGCATGAAGGTATTCATGTAATATGTATTATTTCAACAGCTCACTTAAGCTTCACTCCACCAGAGATAATTGGGTTGATTCACTAATGGCAAATAGGCTGTTCATGTTTCAAAGGAATTTTCACTTAGCAAAGGGAATTCTCTCTTACGTTTGTAAATGATGTCAAAGATCACTGAAAAAAATATCCAAGTTGTGTGCAAAGAAAATAAAAAATAATGTATTTCTGCTTGCACTGCACATGATTGAATAATGGAAGTCAGCAGAACTTCACCAGACTTTTAAAATTGTATTTGGCATATCTCTGTCAATGTTTCTTATAATATTAAGAAAATATGTATAGGGAACACACAAAACAGGTCTAATGAAATTTTCATTAAATTCATCAATTTGTTGTACTTTACTAGAAAGCCATTAACTACATAGTCCAATATAATACATTTGCATTGTGCCAGCAAACTACACAACCTTTTGTGCAGCTTTTCACAGCACCAGCATCATATTAACACTTATGAAAATCTTCCTGGCAAAGGAATGGTTTCTTTTGAATCATTCCTGCTGGAAAAACAGCATTCTGTCCCCGACAGATTTATGAACCTGTGCAAAAGATTTTGTTCTCCAACACATGGGTAGCTTCAAAAGAATATACCTAAAGTTTAACAATAAACAAAAAAATAGATTAAAATGGAAGTTTAGCCAAAAGTTTTTTTTCAGTTTTGAAGAGTAGGGAAGTTTTCCCTTACTTCCTGTCCCAGGACAAAGGACTCTAGTCCTTTCCGTCTCTACTAAAAAGGTGTTTTCAAACAGTCTAAGTTCTTGGGAACATTTTTCTTCATCTCCCAACACCAGAACAGAAGTGAGCAAATCTTCCAAAAGGAGACAAAAACATAAGAGTTCTAACCCTTTTTCATTCTAGCCATGGCTAGACTTGAACTTTATGTAAATAGTGATCATGGCAACAAAATATGGATATATTAATATTAAATATAGAAAATACAAAAGGCCCACCATTCATGGTAGTTTGTTCTCATAGGAAAACAAAGATACAAATTATTATACTTTTAAATTAGTTAATAAAACAATATGTGCAAGTATTTATCTACCCGATAAAACTCTATCCAGTTACCAAAATTCTATCAGAGATTTAACAAATAAAATACGTAAAAAACAAAATGGGTAAAGAGCTAAAAAATTATATTTCAAGTAAAATGCTAAAAAATTACCCTTAATTTTATAAATTCCACCTTAATAAACTGTACCTAATAAATAGAAAATAATAATTATATTTGGGGGGGTTTTTCTAGCACAAAAGATTTTATGCTCCCACAGTATAAAATGACTCATATCAAAAGCATTCAAAAATCAGTTTTCCAAGTAGTTTGATTGTAAGAGAGAGGAGAAGTGCAGTTGCCATGATTTAACCGTGGTGCATTATATTCTAGACTTTACACTGTCAACAAAGTAATGGCATAAAGAACTTTGCTTTACTAATTAAGCTTGTTGCAGATCTCCAAAGCTTTTTTGTAAACCTGAGTAACGTCATCCATATCAGTTAACAAAGAAAAACTGCTGTCAGCAAAACGATTACGGAAACGTTTCAGGTTCTGTGGACGAGGACTTTTTTGGAGCCTCTCAAAATCCTTAACAAAAAGGACATTTTCAGCTGATACACAACTACTACGTATTCTCTGTCGATTTGGCCTACCACCTGTCAATTCAAGCAAATCAAATGAGTCATTTGAGAGGATGCTATCATCGCTAATTACACTGGATGGACGACTGTAGCTTCGAGACAATCCTTCCACAGGCAGAGGTCCTTGTTCCATTGATTCCAGTGATTTGGTGGTGATACTAGCCATTGGTAAATCTGTACTGCTATTTGAATATTTACTGTTGTGCTTTAAAATGCCTTTTCGTCTACAGGAAAGGCTGTGAGACACAGTCCGTTTAGTCTCACTGACAACTTGAGATGTATTCCCACTTTCTGTTCCATCATTATCCAATAGTTCTGAAGACTCACTCCTCTCTGGTGAAGAATAGTAGCCAGACTCCCTTTGCTGAGTCTTTTTTAAAATGCCTTTCTTTGGCATAACTGTAGGCTGCTTTGAACCACATATAAGTGGTTTGACTACTTCCTTGGCATTCTTAGGACAGGAATCAATGATCCCTTTATCACTTTCAGTTTTGTAAGTAGGCGATAATACAGGACTAATAACTCCCTCAATAAAACCAGCACTGTGGCACCGATGCTCACTATTGCTTCTTTTCTTCAGGATGCTTTTAGGTCTCTTTGATATGGTGGTATCTTCAGAGCCATCCTGCAAAGACTGTGTAATGTCATTTCCCTTCTTGGATTTCTTTAGAGATCTTTGTCGCTCAAGTGATACTTCAGATGGCTTTGAAAGGCACTTGCTTTTGTTTTCAGCCTCAAGCTGCCGGCTGGTTGAACGGTGATGCCAGTTGATGAATCTGGCAAGCAATGGAGATTCTGAGTCCTTCAAGACATCACAGTCACATACACTACTTTTGTAGCTCCAGTTAACCCACCAGTGGTTTGCAATATCTTCAATGGTTGCTCGACGCTCAGGATTAACCATCAACATCCATCTGATTAGTCCTCGAGCATCTGGAAACACATTTTAGGTAAATATATAGTATTTTCAAACCATTTTTAAGCATACACTGTCTTTTAATGGTATTTGTTTTATCGACCTAATAGTAAAAGTAAAGCCAGCGAAAAATGGATTGAAATTCGGCCAGTTCAGCAGAAAGACCGATGACTTTTGATCCATGTATGACTTTAGTACAACCAGCCAGTTGAGGTAATTTTCTTGCGATCACTGCCGGCGGCTATAGCCACCAGCAGTGATTGTATTCTGCTGGAGGGGAAACCTTCCTAGGTTCCCCCACCAGCAGAACACAATAGTAATACGGGAGGGATCCCCTAATCAACACTGACTGTGCTGATGGTGTATTTGAACAATTTTATTTCCTTCAATCCGTGGTTTATGGAAAGAATATTGCACAATGTATGGCTAGCCTAAAGCTGGCTACACATGGGCTGAAAATAGTCAGTTCAACAGAAACCTGCCGACCTTCGGCCCATGTGCACAGCTGTCTGTTCTATGACTGGTTTTTCTTACGATTGGCTTCTGTGAAACAGGCAGGATGGAAAAGCAGTATCCACTGACATCTGATGTGGCAGAACTGACCAGTGTGTTTTGGGGGTGTCAGATCGCTCCACTAACATTGCTTGTGTTAGTATGGTAATCTCTAATTTTTTTGTGTACCCAGCTTATGGCCTCTCCAGAAACTGGAGGAATTGGGAAATTTAAGAGGTCTATTGATAGATGGCTTTATCTGGTTTGTCATTGTAGATCCATTAAAAGATTTCTTTATCAATCCAATAACCGGTATTTTATTTGAAGCACGTATCACAAAAAGAATGGAAGCATTTATATGTTTCGAGTTTTACTGTCTTTTTTATGCATAACATTACAGTTTTAGAGCATGTCCAGTAAGTTATTTTTTTACAGGCAGTGTTGGTGGCAGTAATACTAATATGCTTAACAGCAGATGGTAAATACGATCAGTAATACGATCAGAGTATTGATAGACAGTAGTCATTGGGACAATTTTAATGTAAACTTTGGATGGTGCATACTTGATGTATAGGTAGTGTTGACAGAAAACAGTGATAAGGACATAATGCTGTCCTGCACTGTATGTAATATATGTTCAGGGATTATTGACAAACACATGGTAAAACTAGTTTAGCTGATGGGCACAGCTTTGCCAGCTCACTCACACGCCCTGAAATCTCTAACTGTGATTCATGTGTCCTTGAGCAGGAGGTTAGCACTGACTATGAAGATCAGGGCTGTGTTCTATAGAGAGATTTTTCTTTAATCTTGAATACTGTTAATATGGCATGAAAGGGAGCCGATTAATGATTTTTCTATTTACAATAGAATATCTTACTTAAAGGAGAAGTATAGCCAAAGCTATTTTGGCCGTACTTCTACTGTGGATCACAGGAGTGCAGTTTGTCCTGCACTCCTCTGACCCTTTCAGCTGAATACTGCTGTCAGTTGATGCCACTCAGCCAGTCCAGGCTCAGCCTCTCAGCAAGCCGCTTAGAGCCTGAACCAGCCACTTCCTCCCCAGGACAACCTAGCGCTCCAGTGACTGACAGTCACCGCTCTCTGCTCAGGCAGCATTAAGAACTCAGCGATCAGCGGTCAGGTGGTCGCTGAGTTCTCACACGTAGTGCTGGAGGGGACAGACTTTAGGTACTTGACCCAACACGAGAAACCCACTTAACACTGAAATATTAAATATAAGTTATATGCTTTATCTCATGCATTTATTTATAAGCAAACACTCTTGAAAATATACCTGATACACACTATACCTGAACTTAGCCATTTATCATTTTCCAGGGTGGGCAAAATAAATATCTACTAATGGGCTAGTAAAATAGTTCTTGCATTTTTTTTACCTGATGGTTGCGTTGGTTCTTTGTATTCTCCACTGCTTATTTGCCTAATTAAATTTTTGTGATCAAAACCATCAAATGGCATTGTTCCATAAACCAGAGTATACAAAAGTACACCGAGTGCCCAGCTGTCAACCTGTAACACAGACAATAACACATCTCAGGGATATAAAATCAAGTGTTTTAGTTTAGGACATATTATCAATCAGCCATAAACATTATGATCTAATACTGAGAAGGCCCCCTTTCTGAGGCCAAGCCATGGACTTCATAAGACCTCTGAAGGTATGTTATGGTATCTGACACCAAGCCCTCATTATCAGATTTTTTTTTAAGCCTGCCTTTTTCCAATAGGGCATCCTGGTGTCATCTTTCCCCTAGGTAAGTTACACACGTACCTAGCCATCCACAAGATGTAAAAGAAAACATGGGTCATCAGACCAAGCCACATTCTTCAATTGGTCTGTGGTCAAGTTCTGATGCTCAAATGCTCACTGTAGGCACTTTTGGTTGTGGACATGAGTCAGCATGGGCCCAACCTAGAACCACACAGTCCTATACACAACAAACTGAGATGCACTGTGTGTTCTGAAACCTTTCTTTCGGAACAAGCATTAGCTTCAACAATTTGAGTTGCAGTAGATCTTCTACTGGATCAGACTACACAGACCAGTCTTTGCTACCAACATGTATCTATGAGCCTCGGCTGCCCATGACCCTGTCGTCAGTTTTCCCCAGCACATCAGCATTGAGACTGGAAGAGGAGGTGACCTTTTGCACAGTGGTGTGATCTAACAACTGGAGTTTGCTAAATGGAAAGAGCATAGAGATCAGTTCATCAGTGGTGATCTCATCTTATCCAATCACCTTGAACAAGCTATCGGTTTGACTGCATTAGAGAAAAAGAAGTGGTCATAACCGTAAGAATGATTTACTGAAGGAATTGAACGTGTCTATTTGAAGCTAAATTCTTTGCAAAGTGAAAAAAATCACCCAGCTTAGAGCAAATAAGTTGAAGCTGTGCATCGTTCAAAGTGAATTTACACTAAGGTTCACCTCATTTAAGTGAAAATTCCCTTTGCAAAGTGAACATGCTCTATACTGCTTTAGAAAATCAACTATGCCTGTGTAGTATCTGGCAAAGTTGTCTGGATTATAAAACTGGCTAACATTTTTTGGCAGTTAACACAATTCACAAAACATGCATTTCAACTGTTTTTAGCGCTTTGCTTACATTTAAGTAGCCTTGAGCTGTTGAAGTTAAACACATTAGGCTTATAGTTACATAGTAACTAGGCTGGAAAAAGGAACAAGTCTATTCAGTTTTAAACCTTTCAAAAACACCTGCAGTTTTGGTCCAGAAGATGGCAAAACAAAAAACTTCTTTAACATCTGTAACCAATTTTGCTTAAAATAAAGAAAAAAAATGTTTCTCGCTGCATAAAAAAAATGTGGCCTTAGTTCCTAGATTAAAATAGACCTCTATATTTAAGTAAACATACCTATGCATATCAACAATTAGAAAATTGTCCAGTCTTTTTTTTATTGCAATATTGACTTTGCCATTACTGTGTTAAGCTACTCCACAGCACATTAGATAAGCACACTTTAAATAAAAAAAAAAATAAAAAAAAAAAATCCTCCACTCACATTAGCTTTTGTATAAATAAAGTCTATTGCCTCAGGTTTCTCTATTGTCAGTCAAGACTTCCATTTATTGCCCAGGGCCAGAGCAGAGTTTATCATCATTTCTGAAGTTTCAATACAGTGTTTGCATTGAGCCAAGGATAGGTCTGTACGTATAGAAGAATAAGGTCTACCTTGACTTTAGAGCTAGTACAGAGTTTTAAAGTCAGACTCAATTTTTTCCCTCTCTATTTGGGGGAGCACTGTGTTCAAACATGAGGAAAGAGCACTGGAAATTACAAGCACTGAACCGGACTAAGACAGGCTGGACAGGTATAACAACATATTTCTGGCAATGGAGGTACTTTGTGTAACAAACCTTATGGAGGGCAGATTATATTTTATAGAGTAATTTTTGTCTTGGTTATAGTGTACTTATTTTTGAGGAACACTCATTATTAGGCTCCATGCACACTAAGAGTTTCTTAATCTAAAAAAACACTAAAAGAAATACTGGATAAACGCTGGTAATAGCGTTTAGGAGCGTTTTTACAGTACATGTAGAAAAAAGCTAGAAAAAAAGCTTTTAGGAGCATTTTAGTAGTGTTTAGAATTTGTTTCTGCTGGAAAAGCGCTCCAACAAATACTACAAAAACAATTTTTTTTCTGCTCTTAAAAACACTAATAGCCTAAAGTAGTGTGAATGAACAAAGAGGATTTATTTATTTATTTATTACAAGTACTTATATAGCGCGGTCAATTTCTGCAGCGCTTTACACATATATATTGTACATTCACATCAGTCCCTAACCCTCAAGGGGCGATAACACGATTTATCATAGCTGCTGACTTTTAAAATACAGCCAACTGCCTGTTCCTCGGTCCAGCGGTATATATGCTGGTTTCACCGGCCGTCTTCTTTCCCTGGCGCCGGCATTCCCTGGCGAGAAGCGCTGCGCTTTGTGAATGGCCCCGTAGTCTTCTGGGACCTGTCACGTGTCCCAGAAGACTACGGGGAGGGAGGGAGGACAACTTTTGCTTCCTAGGCGATCGCAGCAGATGTGGGAGCAGGTACCTGTCAAATTCGGGTACCCGCTCCCCAAAGGTCTGCAGTCTCTGGTCATCTCCTGTAGTACATCCGCAGTCTCTGGTCATCTCCTGTACTACATCCGCAGTCTCTGGTCATCTCCTGTACTACGTCCGCAGTCTCTGGTTATCTCCTGTACTACATCCGCAGTCTCTGGTCATCTCCTGTACTAAGTCTGCAGTCTCTGGTCATCTCCTGTACTACGTCCGCAGTCTCTGGTCATCTCCTGTACTACGTCCGCAGTCTCTGGTCATCTCCTGTACTACGTCCGCAGTCTCTGGTCATCTCCTGTACTACGTCCGCAGTCTCTGGTCATCTCCTGTACTACGTCCGCAGTCTCTGGTCATCTCCTGTACTACGTCCGCAGTCTCTGGTCATCTCCTGTACTATGTCCGCAGTCTCTGGTCATCTCCTGTACTACGTCCGCAGTCTCTGGTCATCTCCTGTACTACGTCCGCAGTCTCCGGTCATTTCCTGTACTACATCCGCAGTCTCTGGTCATTTCCTGTACTACATCCGCAGTCTCTGGTCATTTCCTGTACTACATCCGCAGTCTCTGGTCATCTCCTGTACTACATCCGCAGTCTCTGGTCATCTCCTGTACTACATCCGCAGTCTCTGGTTATCTCCTGTACTACATCCGCAGTCTCTGGTCATCTCCTTTACTATGTCTGCAGTCTCTGGTCATCTCCTGCAGTACATCTGCAGTCTCTGGTCATCTCCTGTAGTACATCTGCAGTCTCTGGTAATTTCCTGTACTATGTCTGCAGTCCATTGGTTCAGAATATTTTTTTTCTTGTTTTCTTCCTCTAAAACCTAGGTGCGTCTTATGGTCAGGTGCATCTTATGGAGCTAAAAATAAGGTCATGTTGGATCAGTGCTGAAAATAATTAGAAACAACATACAAACGTCACAAAGACAAACATATCAACTATTAGTAACTGATTATAGTAATGCCTGATGGAGCATAGCGGCATGGAGGGATAGCTGGTCTTCCAAGGGTGGTTGCAGCCAACCTAACAGGTCGGAGCGGCCTCAGGAAAGTCCTGGTTAAACTACAACTTTCAAGCAGGTATATGCTGTATATATAGCAAGGGTGTAAAAGAAAGGGGGAAGGGACAAAAGGGTGAAATGGGCAAGGAAAGGCTTGGGGGGGGGGTTGTTTGTTGGGGAGAGGGGAAGGAATGTGGGAAGAAGAAGGAACCGAGATATGAACAAGCAGTAACACACAGAAAAGAGCAACAGGGGATTAAAGTCTCAGAGGATCTGGAGCATCAGAGGTATGACTGAGTGCGCCATGAGGCCCAGAGGTAAATACCAGGTGAGTGAACAGGTTGAAAGAAAGACAAGTTACTAGCGTTGAATGGTAGTGGCAGGGAGTATTTCTGTGAATCAGAAGGATAACATCAGCTCATCTTTTTTCAAGCTGGTAGGATGAAGTCAATGAATACTTGCCATTTATTTATGAAATGCCGGAGAAATATAAGGAAATAGTTCCATACGGATTTCTATAAAGAAGGGTTTTCAACTCGTGTTTGACATCTGAGGTAGTTGGCACATTATAGGAAGTTTATTTTTTGAGTATAATTCTGTGTGCAACCAACAGACAGATATGAGTCCATTGCAAGCAAAGGGATAGTCTCTTTATGTTGATTTGAAGTGGGCTGGGCTGCTGGGTAGCCATAACAAAATAACATTAGCAGAGGATGGAGCACTGAGTGACCCAAAAGACAAACTGGACATTTGGTACCAGAAGTTAGATATACGCTGGCATGACCAGTAGCTGAAGGTGAGAGAAGGCCTACAGAAGCCACATGGTGGACATGTGGCTAAGAGAGGATTGTCCTTTACTGAGAAAAATGTAATACAAGCTCTATGGAGGAGTTTGAACTGAGACTCTCTCCACATTTCATTGGTTACTAGCTTCACATTCTTGATGTAGCCACTGATACGTTTATTGGCAAGATCTTCTTCTGGAAAATCCTTACATCAAGTAGATACCAAGTGGACAAAAAGGTTTTGTGAAGTGTAAGCTGAGAGGTCAGTAGAGACAGACTGAAACATAGTAAGTAATGTACAGCGCTGAGCGAACTATTGGCGCTTTATAAATACTGTATAATAATAATAGTAAGTTAGTTTCTGAAGTAAATGGTCTATCAAGGATAGCTGTAATCTCTTGGTTTTCTCATGGCAGCAAGAATATGCATATTTCGTGCATTGTACATAATAGAAGGAATGTTGGTCCGGTAGATCATAAATGGTGGAGACGAGCTTAAAAGGGCTTCAGATTTCTATAGTCTGCTTTGAATAGTGACAGGACCTGTGATAGGCCCATGAGTTTCCAGATGGAGTAGGCACCATATTGCATACTGTGAAGGAACATGGGGTTGCCATGTATAGGCAGATATATATAGATATGTATGCCCTCTCCCCCTCCCTTTCTGGGGAGATATAGTTTCGGCATACTAATACAAGGTCTTTTGTTTCACCAAAGAAATAATGAGACTGCTTTATTTAACCAATTGCTGACTGCGCTATAGCTGAAAAGTGGCTACAGAGCAGTCTTCCAGTTTTGGGAGGGCGTCCATAGATGTCCTCTCAGAAACTCGCACCTTGAGCATCCCCAGGGCACGCATTGGGCACACGCTGTGACCGCTGTGTGGACGTGGTAAAGGGATAATTAGAGCAGCCCTTTACCATGTGATCAGCAGTCCCCAATCAGAGCTGGTCATATGTAAAGCAGTCCTTCCTTCACATGCTGTGTTTATCTGAGGAAAGAAAAACCAATAACCGACAAGGCTGTCAGTACATGGTTTACATTGATAATCAATGCCCATCAGTGCTGCCTTATTAGTGCAGCCACAACAGTGAAGAAGAAAAATTACTTTTTTGCAAAATTTTATAACAGGAATGAAAAAAAAAAAACGTTTATTTTCATGTTTCCATTTTCATATGGGAACAGAGTTACATGACCATGCAATTGTAATTTAAATTGTGACAGCACTAAAAGCTGAAAACTGTCAGGGCAAGAAGGGGTGAAAGTTCCAGTATTGAAGTGGTTAAAATGGTTCTAAAGGCTGAAGGTTTTCTACCTTCATGCATACTTCTCTTGATTCCGAATGATGACATATTACTTTGTCATATTAGCAAAAATTGAAACATTACCATTTAATAAATGATTTTGAGGACTTTTACTTTTTTTTTTAATTTTATGTATGCCAGTATCAGCACCACCCAAAAATATGTCTATCCAATCCACAGTGTGAATACACACTGCTCAGCATTCATGGACTTGGTGACAGATTATTCAACCTGTCTGTATAATTACAGAAAATTGGATAACAAATGGAGAGGTCAATATAGTCTGCTAGGTTTTAAGTGCTAGATGTTATATTAAATGTTACAATATGGGCCATGAATAACATCTATTGCCAAGTGTCTCCTTTGCAGGTGTTTTCATTTTCTGAACACTTTGTTTTCTGCAATAAAAACAGAAGAGAGTGCATAGGCCACTGACTGAACACATGACCTAACAAGTCCCTTAACACAGATGAAACTTAGATGGATGGATAACATATATATGAGTATTGAAGATAATTTTTAGAGATAATTGTTAATTGTAAATTAGCTTTTTGAAAATCTTTTATTATCCTTAAATGTACAAGAAACATCAGGTTTTCAGTATTTAAATAAAAAAAATAGTTTCTGTAACAGCAGCATTTGAAAACATTTTACACCAACTGAGGTAAGAAGCCCAATGCTTCATGTTGACTCAAAGGTTCCAGAGATAACACAACAACATAACCAACCATCCAGATCACACATTTAACCTAAATGCAAAAGAATAAAACAGATATACTTTACCTCAGGACCTCGATAAGGTCTCCCATTTACAATCTCTGGTGATGCATAAAGTGGACTTCCACAAAATGTCTGCAGAAATTTGTCTTTATGATAGAGATTAGAGAGTCCAAAATCAGCAATCTGCAAGACAAAACAAAAATATTTTTAAAATTCACACTAAAATATATAAATACATAAATCAAAACACTGTTTGTAACAGTCTTATATTTGCTAATTTTCAGAGACCATTCTAAGTGGGAACAATTTGCTCATGGACAACTGATCTCCTTAGAGACCATGGGGCTGCTGTACTGGAAAAGTAGAGAAGGTTTACTTTATAACCACTTGCCCTCCAGAGGATTTACCCCCCTTTCCTGGCCAGGCCATTATTTTTTCGACACGGTGCTGCGTAACTTTAACTGACATATGCATGGTCTTGCAACGCTGTACATAAATGAAATGTCCTTTTTATTTTAAAAGATTGGTTAACGATTGTAGGAGGAGTTTTCATTAAATTCTCTGATTGTCCTATGAGACTGAAGGACCCCTGACCCTCTGTCTGGACAGCGCTGACTGGCCCAGTGCTGATTACAAAAGGTACACAAGACAAATAGAGAGAGTGGATCTCCATGGTGAGCATACAGACAGAACAAAAAAAAAAAAAAAAAAAAGTGACAGGTTTTTTTTTACTCTTTCTCCGCTTTATTCGAAACTAAATCAGTTTTGCCTTTAGTTAAACTTTAAGTTAACCAATCACGTGTTAGCACATTTATTTCCTCACATATATTTGGGTATTCAAATGACACTGAACACCTTTTTTACTATCAAGAATTGCATATAAAAAAAAAAGGCAATCCCCCCCATCAGCCCTGCACACACCCCATAAAAAAGCACACCATGGGACAAGAACGTGTATGTAACATCAATTGCGCCACACATGTGAGGTAAAGTCATGAACCTCGGAGTGAAAGCAATAATTTTAGGGCTGTGGTTCACAGTTAAGGTAGAACTATAGGCATTCTTTATTCCATTTTGGACACAGTAAGGTAGGGTTATAACCCCTGTTGTCTTTATTTGTCATCTGTGTCCCATTGGGAATATTTGCCTTCACTTCCTGTCCCATAGCTAAACCAGGAAGTGAAGTGAAAGGAAATCCCTGCAAATTAAGGGAAATCATTGGTGCCCCGCAGGTCACCAGAACTAGCGTCTCCATTGGAAGATTTCCCCCTTATTACTGTTCTAGGGACAACCCAAAATTTGGGATTTACTTTTCATAATGGTAAACAGGAAAAATAGAGAGGGTGAATCTCCCTAGCAGGGACAAAGGTATTTTTTTTTATTGCTAACAGGTGATCTAATCACTCTCCACTCTATCCAAATCTAAAAAAAAAAAAAAAAAAAAAAAAAGACTTATAAGGCGCCCCCTATGTAGAATTTTAGGTACCATTGTTCTTTGCAATTTCACAGGCATGCGCAATTTTAAGACTTGTCATGTTAAGTAAGCTTACCAGATTGGCTTGACCCTCATATTATAGAGTGGTCAAGGACAGCTTTGTATTGAAACCCTCTGGCAGCTGCAAACATATCCACATACCATGATAAATGACCCCCTCGCACTCCTGTGTCAGTCACAAACTCACAATACGTTCAGGCCAGACATGCAAGGAATAAACATGCTCTCCATAGTGTAAATATTGAAAGTTAAAAGTCCAATTTATTGAAAACACACTTACAAGCTCCAACAGTAAAAACAGAGCTGTATTCAGAAATCTCCTGCATGTGCCCACATCTAAAATGGCCACCATCCAGCGTGCATGCATGGTGACATACGCTCTAGCTCCTCCCAATATTGTATTTGTTTGCAATAAATGCATTTTAGTGTATTGTTTCCTGAAAATATGCATTTGATAAATAACTTTGCAAATATTGTGTGACAGAGATTTATGGCTACCACCATTTTATTCTCTGCATTTTTTACTAGAAATTATTATAACCCCTCCCCCCAAAACGTTTACATTTTATGAAAGAGAATTTTACCATGTGTGCCAAAAATGAACATATTGTCCTGTGGACTAGTGGTTATGGACAATTCATTTGGGTCTTTATAATTCACTTCAAATGAGAAGGAATCTTAAAAGACTGGACTCTTAGGAAGTTAAAAAGGTACTGGAAATAGGTAGCCAGTATATAATGATTGATTTGCCTGACTGCTAAAGCAGTTGCACTCCTGAAAAGCACTGGCAGTAACATTTTGTGTCTCTTCGATTCAAGGTTAATAGACTAAACAGCAATTAGTGTTGCACTTCAAAACTGTTGGATTTCTCGTTCGTGCGCCCCCCTAGCTAGCGGTTGTCAAAAAAAAAAAAAAAGGCAGCCCTGCGGGCTCCGCCTGCCTGGTCGTGTCACTCACAGTATTTTGTGAATGAGAACACTACAAGTTCCGACAGCCTTTGCAGCTGTTGGCTTGTAGTTCTCAATGAAATACCATGGCGCTGTATAGCACTGTGGTAGTTCACTGAGTCTTCCTGTCAGTAACTATCTGCTTGCCCATACAATGTAGATACATTGACAGGTCTGCAGGGGACCTGCATGGCACCAGTGATCTGCTGATTGCTGCTGCAATGCTTTGGAGGTTCCAGAAACAAACAAAAAATAAATAAATGCACATTATTTTACCTGCAAAAAAGTGCATTTATTGTTTCTTGTTAAAAGGTGAACTTATCCTTTAACATATGCAATCTTGTGACATGTAAATGACCTATCCAAGATCTAGTGCCTTACATCTACATCTTTTGTATAATAACTCTGGCCTCAGTGTGAAAATGCCCACTTACTGCACATATCACTGCACCTTGGGGATGCCACCCTAGGCCACTAATCCTGATTTGGACAGCAAACACCTTCCCCTCTCCTCGCCTCTATTACATACAAGACAGTTGCATGGTAGTTCACTGAAAAAAACTGATATCTGAGATTTCAGTTCTGTGTTCAGGAAGTTACAAAAGACAGTTTCTGGCAAGCTAAATCAGTATTTTTCTGTGATGGCAGAAAAAGTCCCCCCACAAAGTAATGCAGCTACCACATCTGAAGACTGGCAATATGCTATATATTACATTTTTGTTATTGGGTTTTTATATAGCTAAAAATGATTTCCTTGTGGTTTACATATTAACAGGAACCCCAAAAATGTTGTGTTAGGCTTAGAGTTGGAATTGGGGTCAGCATTTTTTGGATGGATGAGGCCTGGTTCTCTACACCATTACAAAGTATGGTTCTTAAAGCAGAACTTTACCCATAACTTGATAAAAATAATGTTCTTTAGCACGGAACATACATTCCACATTATTAATTATGCTACCAAAATGAATGTGTGCTGTAAATTATCTCCAACATTGTTCCTGTTTTTTCTTGCTGGAGGCTGCCATTTTGCTGAAGCCCAGAGCAGCAGTAAATCTATAGGCTGGCAGCAGATCAGCCCCTACGTTTTTGGTAATGCCAAAAAATAGAGAGCAACTGAGCATGTGCAGAGCAGGGTGAAACAGTGTATTACTGGGCACTTATTTTTAATGTTTTATCTGCATAAGGTGCCAGCCTGAAGTGATCTAGCAGGACTTAATTTTCTGATTAAAGTTCCATTTTAAATATTTCAATTACTTTAGAAATCCAAGGAAGCAATGTAGACTACAGTTTTAAACTGGCCATACACGGATTTGTCTGGTTTCAGCAGGGATGATTGACTTCTGTCTAATGGATGAGTTGGAAAGTTTTGATCGGTGGCTGCAGCCACGGATAAGTAAGCGTATTCTAACAGCAGCAAGAGCTACTGTCAGAATACAATATCCTGCAGGGGGATTCCTCCATCCACCATTCGTTTCCCTGGCAAAAAAAAAAAAAAAAAAAGTGTATGGCCAGCTTTACAATAATAGTGTTTCTTTTACAGATGGCCTGGATTCCTCTCTCTTATCAATTTTCTCTGACTGGCTAGTAGGAAGTTGCTCCTAATCCTTCAGACGTGTGCCCTGCCAATCAAGAGTAATATAATGAAACACTTACTCAGCTAATGAATCTGTGCTGCTACATGACCCTTGATCAGTGTCTGTAATAGTCTAAGCATATTTTCCCTAAAAGTGCATACTATTCTTTCCTTAACAAAACACATCGTTTTCAATGACATGGAATGTATGAAACATGAATTGCAAAGCCTGATATATTTGTTTTTTTATGGAGGAGCGGTTTCAGCAGCCATGTTTTCATTATGGCTATTCAGGAAAAAAGTATTTACATTAAAGTCCACTCCCATCCTCACAGACTGATGCTTATCGGATTTTCCCATTAAACTTGTCAGGCTCCTTGAAGCAAGATTAATAGGATTTCAGATTACTTCATGGTCTTGGCACTTAAAAAGCAGCAACACAGATATTTAAACCAGGAAGAAAAATATGAAAAGGTTTTTGAAGAATTTGCATGCCTTTCTTTGGAAACCACAGCCGTCATTTACTAATAAAAGTATTAAGACCAGGTATTAATATTAGTAAAGAATTCCAGAAAAACACAGAGGCATGCTTGTAAACAACAACATAACAGTTGCTAGCCTTTCATCTGACAGATAATTGTTTCAGTTCAAATGTTTTAGTCATGAAAGGACAGTTGAAACTAGTTGCCTCATAGCTCAGTTGCATCAACTCAGAATCAACTGTCCCAATTTTATTCAGGCAAAAAATAGGCATCAGTTTAATAACCACATACAGCAGCTAGATTACACCCTGATGAAGTCCACATTGAGTTGGACGAAAAAACATGCCAGCAGATAATCTGCACGCCCTGAAATGCATTGTGTTTTAAAATGCATACTCAAAGTATGAAAAAAAAAAAAAATTTAAATGCATTTTTAAAGCTGAACCACAGGCTCAAATACTTATTTAAATATAGGGGCAGAGCTTAGCTCTGACATCAGCATGCCAACTTGGTAGAGCGGTTTATCTGTACACATTCATACATGTGTGTCTCTGCATTTACTTTTGACGGTACCTTTCTTTGCATTAACCACTTGCCCTCCAGAGGATTTACCCCCCGCCTGACCAGGCCATTTTTTGTGATACAGTGCTGACAATTGCGCAGTCATGCAACGCTGTACATAAATTAAATTTCTGTTCTTTTTTTTCTTACAAATAGAGCTTTCTTTCGGTGGTATTTGATCACCTGTGCATTTTTATTTTTTGCGCTATAAACAAAAAAAGCCGACAATTTTGAAAAAAAAAACAACTTTTTTTTACTTTTTGCTATAAAACATATCCAGTAAAAAAAAAAAAACTAAAAAAAAAATCTAATTTTGCCATAAAATTTAGGCCAAAATGTATTCTGCTACATATCTTTACTAAAAGAAAATTCCAATAATAATTGGTTTACATGAAAGTTATAGCATCTACAAATGGCGGTATATAAACTGGAAATTATTATTTGTTATAATAGTAATGGCAGCGATCAGCGACTTTTAGTGGGACTTCAGGACTGTGGCGGGCATTCTGACACTGGGGGGAACTAACTACCACTGACATCACCAGTGACACTAATACAGTGATCACTGCTAATAAAAAGCACTGACACTGTAGTAATGACACTGGGTAGGAAGGGGTTAACATCTGGGGCAATCAAAGGGTTAACTGCATACTGTTTTACTGTGTGTGCTTTACTGGGGAAACATGCTACTGTGTATTTCTTTGCTGTGCAGATAAATACACAGCAGCATGTTGTTGCTGGCAGGAGAGAGACCTGTGTTGTTTATACGCAGGTCTCTCCCCTGCCACTGTTTGTCAGCGATCGCCGGGTGCCGACATCTGTAGCCACCAATGCCCCCTACCCGGAAATGCAAAGCATGTATATATACGTGATTTTACGCAGCCCCTCCGCCCTGTAGCAGGATTTCTGCTATAGGGCGGCAGGGAAGCAGTTAATAAAGTGGTGGTTTTATGAAAATGCTTCACTATGCAGTTCCTTTGTTTTCCTCTTAGTGCTAAGTGCCTTTTAATGCATTGACTGAAACTGGTGCGGACTTAAAGGCTGAGTAGACTGCATCCTGAGCTGATCCTGTTAGGATGATATCTTATTGAAGCGCTGAAGATCTCATAGCAAGAAGATCAAATATATTTGGTAAGGAGTTGGCATATTCACAAGTGGTGCACATTTTTGGGTTCCCTTTCTTGTGACACAAAATCTAAGTTATATCATGGACGACAGGCACTGATTTTCATTGGTGTACTATTTCTTGTTTATATTCACTCCTATTTGTGGAAATATTTTGAGGGGATGTATTCTGTGGATTTAAAGTGTTACTAAACCCATGACCCTGCATTCACTATATCCCCCCACAGTACACAGAACACGGAAGTGCAATTATTAGTAAATGTAAACTGCTAAATACCTTTTCTCATCAGCAGTTAGAGCAGTCTTGTGACTTATATCCAGCAGAGTGTCCAGAAGAGCACATGTTAAAGCTTGTAGGAGGCATTTTCACTTTGCTCTAGGATGATGCAGAACCCCTGACCTCTGTCTGGACAGTGCTGATTGGCCCTGTGCTGGTCACATGCACTCTCCCAAGAAACAAAAAACCTCTCCAGCAATGCACAACAAACTGAGCATGTGCAGACTGACTCCACACAATATGTCTTATCAGGAGATAGGAGGGGGCACTGGAAGAAGGGGAGGATCAGAGAAGTCAGGATCAAACAGCCTTTTTACACAATGCAGAGGATTAACCCCTTAGGTTTCACAGTAAGTATAACAAGCATGCTTTACTGTATATACAGACTGATTTTACTGTTGTGGGTTTAGTAACACACTTTAAAAGGGATAGCGCAGCACTAGAATTTCATAAATATGTTCTTTAACCACTAGCCTACCGGGCACTTATACCCCCTTCCTTACCAGGCCAATTTTCAGCTTTCAGCGCTGTCGCACTTTGAATGACAATTGCGCAGTCATGCAACATTGTACGCATATGAAATTTTTATCATTTTTTTCACACAAATAGAGCTTTCTTTTGTTGGTATTTGCTTGCCGCTGGGTGTTTTATTTTGTGCGCTATAAACAAAAAAACGAGCAAAAGAAGTGAAAAAAAGTTTTTCTTTGTTTCTATTATAAAATTTTGAAAACAGGTAACTTTTCTCCTTCACTGATGTGCGTTGATGAGGCTGCACTAATAGGCAGCACTGATGGGCAATGATAGGCGGCACTAATGGGCAGCACTGTTGAGCTGGCACTGATGATGAGCACTGACAGGCGGCACTGCTGGGTGGCACTGACTGATGGCACTGACAGGCAGCACTGATGGTGGCACTGCTGGGCACAGGTAGGCGGCACTGCTGGGCATCAATCATCAGGGCACTGATCATCAGTGCCCTGATGATCGGTGCCGATCCCTCTTCTGACAACTGCCGGTTCTCGGTAGTACTTTCCTCAGGCTGTGACAGCGTGAGGAAAGTGCAGCCGATAACTGGCAATTGCATTTCCCGGTGATCAGCGTGTCATTGGATATGGCTGATCACGTGGTAAAAGGCCGCTATGATTGGCCTTTTACCATATCACGTGATCAGCTGTGTCCATAGGATACAGCAATCATGGAGATCGCCGGGTGTGCGCCCCCGGGGGCGTGCAGGAGAGTACCTTCAGGAAGGACATCATATGACATCCACCTAGAACTGGTCGGCCGCAGTGCAGCCGTCATTCAGACATCTGCGGTTGGCAAGAGGTTAATAGTCATAAAGGATATGGATATATATATATATACACACACACATATACATATATATACACACACACTATTCCCAAAAGTTCTGGGATGCCTGCCTTGATACGCACATGAACTTTAATGGCATCCTAGTCTTAGTCCAGAGGGCTCAATATTGAGTAGGCCCACTCTTTGCAGCTATAACAGCTTCAATTCTTCTGGGAAGGTTGTCCACAAGGTTTAGGAGTGTTTCTATGGGAATGTTTGACCATTCTTCCAGAAGAGCATTTGTGAGGTCAGGCACTGGCGCTGGATGAGAAGGCCTGGCTCACAGTCTCCGCTCTAATTCATCCCAAAGGTGTTCTATTGGCACACATCAAAACGCACACATCACACACGTCAAAAAGCACCCAGAAATGGTTTAAGAAAAAGCGCTGGAGGGTACTGAATCCCACAGAGCAGCTGTGGAGAGATCTCCAAACAGCAGTTGGGAAAAGGAACCCTTCCAATCTGAGAGACCTGAAGCAGTTGGTGAAAGAAGAGTGGTCCGTAATTCCAGAAAGGTGTAAGAAACTCATTGATGGTTACAGGAAGCGATTTATTTCAGTTATTTTTTCCAAGGGGTGTGCTTCAAAATATTAAATTGAGGGTGCCAATTTTGTCCAGTCCATTTTTGGAGTTTTGAGTGGAATGTGTCAGATTTGATTTTTTGTTTCTCCACTTTTTTTTTGTGTCATACCAATACAAACAAATGAAATAAACATGAGAATGCCTAAACATTTGTAATTGCAACAATTTTCTGTTGTGAAGTGGTGCATTACCTGACAAATGCAGGAGTGCCAATATTTTTGGCCACGACTGTATATGCATATCCAGATTTTACCTTAAAAATATAGCAGTAGCATTATCCCTGTGCTGCATATAGCCTGAACAGAAATAAGAGCTGTGGGTGGAACATTCTCTGTAAAAGTCCTGGTTTACCCAATCTCCCTATTTTTTAGACCAAAAGCATGTCTCTAAAAAGGTGGAGAAAGTGTTGCTAAGCTCCATTTTTACTGGATATTGATACTTACATAACTATCTACTAATTATTTTGATTTTTTTTTCATAAAAGATGTCCTTTGCTTATACAGTTTTGCAATCTATGCTTAGTTTGAAACACCAGCTTTATTTAAGCTCTCTGTCCCAAAGGCACCAATGCACTTCAGTGATCACTTTTTTTAAGGCAATTTAGATTGAAGAAATAAAAGAGCATTGTATAAGATGTGTTATAATAACATGTTATACAATAATAAACTATAAAGGGTTATTTAAATATAAATGAGCTAGGATCAGACTGCTGGAAACAAACATAGGGAACAACAGTAGGATACAATCAGCAGTGACAAAAGTTAACAATTAGCTATTATTTATAAATCAGAGTTTTTCACATCAGAATTTTTTTTGCTACAGACAAAGGAAAAACAAATACACTCCAATGGCCTTCTATCAGTTTTTTTAGTATTTATATAACCTAAGCTTACATATAGAAAGCAAATTTGAAAAGAAAATTAAAGATTTGCTTATGCAAAGAGCAAGTTTGTTTGTTTTCAAATGATCATAATCTGTCAGCGGACAAAACATTTCAGGTATTTAAAAAATGCAATTACGATTAATTATTACTAAGCCTACACCTGGGTTTTTCTTTAATCGGAAATAGATGCTGTTGTTTTTACAATTAAGTCACACTGCATGCCTCGACCTTGAGCAATTTTTGTACTGTTTACAATTTTAAAAAACCTTTGGCATGCATAGGAGAACCCGTTAAAGGGCTTTTGTTCTGGAATATAAAATATATTGTTTTACATAGTTCTGAGTAACAGAATAAAATAGGTAGAAACATTTTTATCAGTCATGCGGATATATTAAATAAAGCTTTCAAGGCTAAATTAATATTTTATAAATTGCTACTGACCCTTCCTGCAGTAATAATTCTAGGTTTATATTTGTTCAGTGGACTAAAATTCCAAGCTTGAGAGCAAAATATTATTGTCAGACAGGCATATTATATTTGGAAGATGATGCTGCAATAGCATCTTTCACTATTAGTTGGTGCCGTATCTAAACTTTTATATTGGGTCCTAAAGGGATCAGAAGTATTAATCAAGTAGTTGGAAAGACCTCTTAAAAAGTAGTGCATGAACAGGATATTAGATTAAACAGTTATCTCTTAGTTCCCCTGCAAAGTCCCACAAATACCTGTGCAGCCTGCCCATTATGTCTGTCTAATGCAGCTTCCTGTAATGGTGTGGCAATGATGCTGCAATGCTCCTGAATTCAGAGCAGAATTGCCACCCTAATGTAGGCTGTGCCTGCTTGCACTAATGTGAAAAGAAAAAAGGTTGCAGGGATGTGGGCATCAAAACTCACTGCTTTGTCACAAGCCTGCAATTTGATAATCTGCACCTGGCCACAATTAGTCCTGCTCATAGCTTTCTTGACTGGCAGAATTCTCTCTGTTGCTGAAACCCTCCCACTGTGTGCTGCAGTGTCTGGGAGAGAAAGCATGTGAGACACAAATATTGGAGGACTTAGCTCAGCTGGAGAAGGAGAAGCCTCTCATGTTTACTTTCAGTGGTGTGTGCATTGCATAGGATATGCAGAACTGGACTTGGAACTGGCATACTTAAAAAGTTATACTTTAAAGTTATTAGCAATGATTAAATTGGATATTTCTGAAAGTTTAAACTTTTAACACATTGGAGTGTATTTTATCTAAATTTTGTGCTCAGGTCTTTTCAGGTCAAGAAGGGTACATAATATTCTACACGATCATTTAACTGAAATAAACATATGCCAGTTAAACTGAAGATAATTATACCTTGCACCAAAAAAATGAAGTATTAGATGAGAGATGATGGAACATAATGGGATTTTGGGAAGCGATGATGTGTGTACAGGTTATTCGAGTTAAAAATGTGGGTTGGGTGGCATCTCTGTACTTAGCTGCTGAAAAAGAGGTTTAAGCTCAAAGAAGAGTGCATGTTTTTACAAGTTTTAATCTCATGTTGCACCAGCCGAGGATTCTTAGTATTGAGTGATATACTGGCGTAATCTAATGCTTGCTGTAATAAAAATCAATGATTAATTGCTTGAAGGCAAAAGGTGGAAACAAAGGATAAGATCAGGGCTAAAAGCCAAAGATATGGAATACAAATGGTATCAAACGTACTACGTGATCACCAGCAGCCAGAGTTTAATCACACCAAGCCTGGATATGCCCACTGGACAAGGAGTGCAATGAAATATCACTAAACAGCCCTAGTTCCTAACCACAGTGCTTTTCACTTGACAACATATTTCCTGTACACTTTGATCTAAAAGGATCAAATCTATATTATTGGCATCACACCACATTAAAGGCAATGCAGTGATAAAAATCAGATAATTATTTGCACATATTCAGTGTTTCGCATAAGAGATATCCTACCTCTTTGATAACCTACTGAGCTCCAGTGGTGATGAGAGTCCTAAAGCCATGTTAACTCTTTTGACTCACATATCCTTTAAGCCTAGTACACATGATCAGAAAATCATATGAAAAAAATACCACTTTCGAAGCGATCGTATGATAATCTGATAATTCGCACACAGCTTTCATCCGAAATTATTTGCAGGGACAAGCACAACCTTTTTTCTCGTATGGTACAAGATCATACAATTTTCGTTTAATCAGTACAGTTTTCATCTGAAAATAAAATACAATTACAATACATTACATCGCTTCCAAATTTTTGTTCTGTCCACTGAGAATTTTCGTAACTTTAATAACCTCTTCATTTTGGATTTGGAGACTAGCATGCAAAAAAAATGGATGATCATTAGTTTGATATTCTCATCGTGTGTATGGGGTGTTAGTATGCAGTGAGGTGCAAAGTAGATACAGAAGTGGGTTTGCATTGTGAGTTTCCAAAGTCAGAATAGCTGGACTAGTAATCTTTTTGTCCAATCCTGAGCATAGGTGGATTGACTTTAATCTTTAAGTGACCCTGAAAACATTACAGCAGGAACTATTATGCTTGTGTGTGCAAATAACTGTGTGGTATTGATTGCATAATGAAACCCA